GCTTCTTTGCTTTCAACTGAGATCAGTATAGCATAGAATCTATACATTCTCTTAGGGTACCATGGCAACAGTGAAATCCAGTTATTCACAGTAATGGGAAACCCATAAATACACCTTCCTTCCTTTGGTTATCTTTTCCATCCACTTCTTTCTTCTTCTTCTTTTTTTTTATTTAAGATTTATTTATTTATGGGGCCCTCCCTGGTGGCATAGCAGGTGAAAGCACAGCACTAGGAAGATTAAGCCACTTCTGTATGAGTTAGATCCCCGCCTGCCCGGAGGTGATCCACATGGATCAGCAGACCTCTTCTGACCTGCCCCCTGCTCCCTTCAGCAGTGTACTTCGTCGATCTGCCTGTTCTGCTCCCCACTCTCTCTGGTGAATCCTCTCACCCTCCGCTTCTCTGGTCTGCACCCCAGTTCTGTATGAATAAATAAATAATTATCTTTAAAAAAGAAAGATTTATTTATTTTTGATAAAGTAAACAACTCCATCAAAAAATGGGCAGAAAAACTAAAAAGACACTTCTCCAAAAAGGAAATGCACATGGCCAACAAGCATATGAAAAAATGTTCAACATCACTCGTAATAAGGGAGATGCAAATTAAAACCACAATGAAACAAAACCTCACCCCACTGAGAATGGCACATCTGCAAACAACTAGCAACAACAAATTTTGGCAAGGATATCGAGAAAAAGGAACTCTCTTGCACTGCTGGTGGGAATGCAAACTAGTACAACCACTATGGAAAACTGTTTTGAGGTTTCTCAATTTGCTAAAAATGGAGCTTCCCTAAGACCCAGCAATCCCACTCCTAGGTATCTACCCAAAAGACACAAAAACACTGATTCAGAAAGACACCTGCACCTACATGTTTATTGCTGCTTTATTTACAATAGGAAAGACATGGAATCAATCCAAATGCCTAAAAGTAGATGACTGGATTAAAAAGAAGTGGTACGATGGAATATTACTCCACAATGAAAAAAATAACCACATGCCTTTTGCAGCAACATGGAAGGAGCTGGAAGAGATCATGCTTAGTGCAATAAGCCAGAAAGAAAAGGAAAAATACTGGATGGTTTTACTCATAGAAGTATTATAAAGGACCAGGAGAGAAAATAATAATAATGAACAACTATATAACAGGGACATTTTATGGGGTGGAGTGGGGAATGGGATCAAAATGGGGAATGTGGAAGTGCACTGGACTATGGTGATGGAACATGGGTGAATTGGTGGTGGGAAGCCCGTGGAAATTACAGGTGAAATGGAAAAAGTCATAAAATGATGTAAAAATAAACTATTATGTTATTAAAAAAATTATTTATTTATGAATACAAGAATTGGGGTACAGACCAGAGGTGTGGGCGATGAAAGGATTCACCATAGACAGAGTGGGGAGCAGAACAGGGATATCTAGTGAAATACACTGCTGAGGGGAGCAGTGGGTGTGACAGGAGAGATCAGCTGTGCCATGTGGTTCACCTCCCTGGTGGGGGATTGAACTCATGTTGTAGTTGCTGCAGATAGCTTCATGGTGTGCTTTAACCCATTGTACTACCAGGGAGGGCCAGCAGCCTTTCCATTTGTCTCATGTTTCCACTTACAAACTGGTGTTTTCTAGGACTCTTCTTAAAATAAATTACTTGCATTCAGATTTTGCCTGAGTCTTTTTTTTTTTAAGGGAGCAATGAAATCATTGGGTCTATATGTATAACAATTCAAAGTTATACATATATACAAAAATATTGTTGACTTGCAATACATTAATTTATGGGGTATTCTTAAATATTATGCATAACAGTAATTGTTACTATAGTCTTTTATTTTCAAGATAACAAAAATATTCAAAATTAAAGTATTCTTTCTCAGGATATGCTGTTATTTCAAAGAATGCCAGTTTTCAGTCTGATGACTTTATATTTTCTATGATAGTAATGGTTATGCCTCATACTCTACACATTGAGTAACAGGGTTAGGATGGTAGATGATGATTTTGTTTTGGACATATTAAATTTGAGGTACCTAAGTAGATATGTGTCAGTATATGCAATTGATATTTAAAGCACAAAAAATATATATATATATCTGAAACAAGATATCTTTTTATTTTTTAAATTAACATTGACTTATATTATCGTTGGTATTTTGGAGTACAGGATTTCCCTTCCCTACTTAGGTATCGCCACCATATTGCACCTACCACATACACTAAACAACAGAAGTGAACTGAAATTTGAACTGAGTGAAAAGACATAATGATCCTTTAAACAGTGATTCTCAATGCAGGATGACTTTGTCCTTTAGTGAACATTTGGCAATGTCTGGAGGTATTTTTTGTTGACACCTTGTGAAGCATGGGCTTTACTATACTGACAACTATTGTGTATAATACAGGAATGCTGCCATATATTCCAAAACATATAAAACAGCTCACCATACAAAAACTTGATAACCCAATATGTCAGTGGTTGTTCGCTTCTTAGTGTTCTGAAAATCATGCAATACTTTTTGAATTAAAATCATGTGAGAACTATATGTTCTCTTCAGTTATATAATAGATTATGGTTTGATTATAAGATTTGTAGTTATCTTTTTCTGAAGATCTTGTGATTTTAGTGTTGCCTTATAGAAGTTCAGTTTTCTTTACTTATGCCTATGCTGCTAAAACACTATGGAAACCAATTTTATATTATTCTTCTCAGTGTTTCCTGCACTGATTTATATATATATATATATATATATATATATATATATATATATATCCTGAATTATTATGTAGATAGCTTTTTTTTTTCTCCAGAGTAAATTTCCTTCTATATTAGTTTTCTAGGATGGTTACACCAAATTTTTGCAAACATGATAACAAGAAAAATCAGGAATTTATTCTTTCAAAGAACTAAAGGTCAGACATCTAAAACCAAGGTAATAACAGGGCTATGATACCTCTTAAGATTTGAGGTAGATCTTTTCTTGGCCTCTTTCATCTTCTGGTAGATTCTGGCTTCCTTGTCTTCTGCCAGCACAGTTCCAATCTCTGCTTCCTTCCTTCTATCTCTGTTTGTCCTTTTCTGTCTAAGGTCATTTATTAGATTTCAGGTTCACTGTAGTGTCATTAACTTACTATCAGTAGATTATTTTTTTCCTATTTTCAGGGCTTTGGCAGCACTACGATCTATAAGTTTGTGGTATTTAATTTCCAACATTAAATCTTACATAAATTCCCATAGGTCAGGTGGCTACTTTATATTGAAAAAATTGCACAAAAACACACATAACTAGGCAACTAATTGATCCTATTATATATGACACAGTTGAGATTTGTTGATTTGATAGAGCATTAGAATAGTCGTTAATGTTTCTACTGAATCACCAACTTGAATATGAGACCCTTCAGAGTTGGTGTCTGTGCTTCAAGATGTTTACTTTGAACCAGTGACAGTTAAATGATACTGTGCCCTCCATATATAAAATACAGGTTCTGCAAACCAAAGGGTGAGGGAAAACAATCATATCTCTTGATATGGATCACAGTGAATTTCTGTAGCAGTTACAGCTTTATGAAATTTTAGGATCTGCTAGAATGGACACTTCTATATAAAACGGAGTAAACATTTTTAGTCATTTGTTTTCCTCATGCTTTGAAGGCCATTTAGAAAAGATATGTTAGTCATTTTAGCCCAGGTAAAAATAGGCTTACTGTTTCTTAATGGATAATGCAGTAAAGAGTGTGTCTAAAACTAGGGAGCCACTGAGGTAACATGTGGAAGTTCCATGATTGAAGGCAACTATAAAAGATCAATCATAGTAATAGACAGCAAAACATTTTAACCCATGGTTTCTAACTGTACATAATTGAACTGAGTCACTCACAAGGCAAGCAACATAAATCAGCAAAAGAACTGCCTGAGGTTGAGAGGGATTTGAGTGGGCTTTAGAAAAGAATCTAACAATCACTTACTAACTGCTATAGCCTTTTCCTCTTGTTTTAAGTCTTTCTTTTGTGAATTTGAAAACAACCACCAGCTTTAACAAAAACCTATACCAGGATGAAGTAAAGTTAAATTGGTATATGAGTCTGTAAAAGGTGGAATAAGCGTTGGCATTTATTATTTCCAAATAAGGAGATGGTTTTCTACTGCCAGCATTGGAGAGCCTGTCTGTCTGTAGACTAGTCTGTGGCTTCCCTACATGTACAATATTTTGTTTGGGGAAGACTGGCTACACCAAAGGAGTTAGCACGTTAAATATGAAAAGGCTTGTCAACTTCCTTTCCCTTCAATTGGGAAATTTAAAAAAATTGCTATTTTTTATTGTTATCAAAGTACCGTTATTTTATATCCTTTTATAATTTTGACATTATAAACCCCCCCTGCCCTTCAGATAAAAGCACAATAGACCTTCTTCTGCTAAAGCACCCGTAGGCCTTTGCCAAAATCCATTATATTCTTCTTTTGGAACAGTTTTAAACCATAGAATTTATAGAGTCCCAAGAGAGCCATTTAAAATAGCCCATATCACATAATGGTTTATAAACATAAAGATCCTGTATTTTCTTCCTCCGTTTCACTATGCTACTCCCTTTATAATGGTTTTCTTTGGATCTTTATCTGAAGAAAAAAAAACAAACCCGAAGTAGAGTTGTTAGTGCCACCTACATTGATGAAATGATTCCTGACATTCACCAGAGAAAGTTTGTGGTTCATTTCAAAACCTTAAGGGTTCAGAAGAGATGCCATTATATCTATATTATCAAGATGATAACAATTTCAGTTATAAGTATTATTTAGTATATTGTGATGCTGTTTGATAGCATAATCCATATCATGGTGTCTTCACTTTTGCCATAGTGATGAGAAAATGTTCTACAGAAGAAGTAGAAATCTGCTCAGGGAGGTAGTTATGTTCAGTTATGCCCATGTTAAATGTAAAATGCCTATGTGGAAATCTCCAAAGGGCAGATGGATGTTTGAGAAATCCAAAGTCAGGTGCAGTTAGCAAAATTTGACATAATATCTTCGTTTGTTCATTCTTTGCACAGCTACTTTTATGTCTTTGTTCCTTAATGTATAGATAGTAGGATTTAAGACAGGGGTGATGGCAAAGTCAACAATGAACAGGTATTTATCAATTGATGATGAGGGAAAAGGTCAGACATAGAGAAACATACATGGAGTGAAAAAAAGAACCACTACTGTAATATGAGACGACAGTGTGACACATGCCTTGGATAAGTCTCCTGAAGAACGCTTCCAGACAGTGACCAAAATAAAGATATAGGAGAGGATTAGAAGGAAAAAAATGTGCTGATAGTCATGAAGCCACTGTTGGCAGCTATAATAAATTCAAAATTGGCTCCATCCAGGCATGCAAGTTTTATGACCCTGGGGAAGTCACAGTAAAAGCTATCCACTTTGTTAGGACCACAAAAAGGCAAACTTATAACAAACACAAACTGAGACATAGCGTGAATCACTCCAATTACCCATCTGGTGATTATAAATGAAACACGTATTTTGGGGCTCATGGTGCTCAGGTGGTGGAGAGGCTTGCAGATTGCTGTGTACCTGACAAAGGCCATGTCGATGAGCGCACCATCTTGACTCCTCCAGTGATGTGGATGAAACATATCTGCATCATATAACTTTGGAAAGAAATCACTCTGTGTTCTTTTTTTTTTTTTTAAGATTTATTTATTTGTACATACAGAAGTGGGGTACAGGCCAGAGAACTCAGGGGCGGTGAGAGGCTTCACCAGAGACAGAGTGGGGAGCAGAACAGGCAGATCGACGAAGTACACTGCTGAGGGGAGCAGCGGGCGGGTCAGGAGAGGTCTGCCACGCCATGTGGTCACTTCCGGGGCAGGCGGGGATCGAACTCATGCGGAGTAGTTTTAGCTTCTCAGTGCAGTGCTTTAACCCGCTGCGCCACCAGGGAGGACCACTCTGTGTTCTTTTAAAAGGTCTGTGATCATCTTGGGAACAGTGGTAGAGGAAATACCCATATCAATGAGGGACAAGTTGGCCAGCAGGAAGTACATAGAGTGTAAATGAGAATCAAAAATCATCAAGAACAAAATGAAAAGATTTCCTAGGACAATCCCTAAATAGATTAAAGAGAATATCACCTTGAGAAAAACTTTAGTTTCCCAAGAACTAGACAGTCCCATTAGCACAAACTCAGAAGCTATAGAATTATTTAGTCCACCCATTGACTTGGGCAAGAGAATTGATTTTCAAATCACCTGTGGATAGAAAATATGAAAAGTCAGAATCAGTGGCACAAAAGAAGATTTCCTACTTATATTGCTAGTTTATTCTGAGATTTTATTTCCTAGAGGTAGAAATCATTTAATTAAATTAGAAAAAAATAAAGAAAATATAATTATTGTGATCAGGAGAGTGATCACATAAGAAGAAATAAGATATTATGAATATTTAAGATAGAAGAAAACTGGATTACTTCTCTTATTACATTTTCAAGAATTTTTTATTTTTCTTGTCAAGGATTTATAAACATATTCTCTGAGTACTTACCTAGGTATTCACTCAACTGAAAAATTCTAGCCATTTCAGTCTCCTTTATGTTGGCAAGCCTATCCTTTCTATTAATTGGTAAGTGAAACTGGTATCCACAACTTCCTTATTTGTAGAATGAAACTGACTTTGAAATATGTATATAATAATATATTTTTAATCACTTGTGTTGCTCTCCCTGCCCTGTTTATCATGCCTTTGTTTCTATAACTCCAGCTGCCCTTGGTTTCTTGCAATCTATAGAGACAGTATCCTCTCTTACTTTTTCCATAGGAACTCCAGGTAGTGGACCACCAATTTTAGGAGATTTAACCCTACCCCTGCTTGAGAGCATGTTATATGATTTTCCTAAATCAGTTTCTATTTTCGTTGGGCATAGATTTGTCTAAATAGGGTCACAGAACTCAGAACTCTTCAATGTGTCAGAACAATTATCTATGGAGGACTTTTTTTCCCCCAAATAAATGAACACATTTTCTAATGGAGAGGGATTTTTCTGATCGTTGTTTCTGATGCTGGTGTTATTCCTAAAGGTGAAGCAATCATGAAACTTTAAAGTCCATGTACAAAAAATAGAGAATAGTTTGATAGGATGAAGAGAGAGGACCCTCCCAGGTGGTGCAAGGGTTTAACACATAACACTGTGAATCAATCTGCAGGCATTTTTCTATTTTCCTCAACAGAATGATCAAACCCCCAGTTGGTGTGGGCTTGGGGAAGCAGTTCTTTTCATTTTCAGCCTATGGGAATCTTTCCAGAGGGCAACTAAATAATAGATCTTTTGAATTGAACACAGCAGTTCTATAAAAATTATTTTGAAGGAAATAAATATACAAAAGAATGAAATGTATTTGTAGTGCTTCTACCTACCTACATTTTATATAGTTGGAACTATATGGAAACATAATGAGTGTTGAGGAATAAAGGACAGATTAAGTGGCTCTACCCATACAACATGGGTTTAAAAGTTATTAATAAAAGTAAACTGACAGGTAAGGAAAAATAAAAATGAGTTCAGGAAACATAGAAAAATATTTTTATTATGAAGGTTAAACAGTATTTTTATGTGTTTAATATTTGCTCAAAAGTTTTTCAGGGGGTGAGATTTTAAATTTTATATTTGTTCTTGTATCCCCAACTTGATTTGCTTCATTTTTAAATGTAATTATCTATAGTTTTCTAAGTTAGGGACAATTGCATCAATATTAATTAAGGAAATAGGAACATTATATAGCATCAACTTCTATTGCTTAAGACCACAGACATAGGAACCAAATAGCATGACCCCTTTGAGCCTCCAGGTGCGTAGAACATAAACTAAGTATGTCCTACATGAGACATGGAATTACCTGCTGCATCAGTTTTTTTGTTTTTTTGTTTTTTTTATGTTAATGGAGCCTACTAAGAGATCCCACCTCTATAATAATTTTGAGAACTGAGTTTAAACAAGAGGCATCTGAAAATTCTATGGTATACAGCAGGCAATAAATATTATGATTTGTGGAATTTTAGAACTAGACCTGGAATTTTCAGATTGGCAACAGTCATTGGATAAATCAGACAGGAAGCATGTTCTTTCATGTTGTGTCAGTAGGAATAGAATGACAAATATAGACATTGTTTTTCTTTTTGTGATTCTCATGTTCATTGAATAAAGGTGATGGAAAATTTAATATATTCACATCCACCTTAACAAAAATACAAGAACTGTAAAGAATCTTTAATGTTTTACCCATCTTACAGTTTTAACTATGAGAATAAGATTGAGAACAAAAAAATATCAACATAACTTAAAAGTATTCAAATAAATTGATTTAAAGCATAAGGACAACAGAGAGAGATTGTGAGATTAAAAAAAAAAAAAGCAGTAATAATGATTGAACCAGATGCCAGACAATCAAAGATTGTTTTCTACTTACCTGCACAAGTCCAGGCTACTTACTCATAGCAACAACATTGGACTGAGAAACACAGATTAACACCCCTTTAGATAGACACATAGTTATAAACAGTTCTTACCATCATGCGTAGAGCCAATTAACAGGACTGTATATTAATGATTAATATATATGCTATTATTGGCTTTTTATAGAAATTGGGTCCTTCATGAACATTTGCTTTTCCCCTGGGTCAAGTGATATAGAACAGAGTTCCAAAGAAATCTAACTGTTCAGTGTGATGACCAATATTATGTAGTCACAGAGCAAAAATATTGTTCTGACAATATTTTTCTCATAGTTGCCGTTGCACATATTCACTGAATACTGAATTCATGAAAATTATCAGAATAAATGATTATATGTTTGGCATCAATATCATGTTAAACACCAAATGCCATTACTTATCCCTAATGACTAATTGCACTCAGAGTAGTGAAAATAGTGAATGGATATTTTAATATTGTGGAGCTTCAAGGATAAAGCAAAATATAAACTGAAAAATTTCATATAAGAGTTTCAATATGTAAAATCATTCTATGTAGATTACAGAGTCAAAACGACAGAATATGTCTTCGGGCTAAATATACTTATGTGATGTTTTTCACAATTTTAGGAACCACCTATATATATGCGTACTGTCCTACTAAGGGCTTTGTTGCAGGCTTGTTTTGACTTTCATTTGTACAGCAGTTGCCTGAGAATCCTTTTCTGAAGAAATAATCCACATCTTGTTTAAAAGAAAAAGAAGTTACCTAATCTATTTAAAGTACTCTATTTAAATATGAAGATATTTAGAAGAAATGTGAGTTCATTTTTTGGTGGGATTAGCTTAAATGTCTCATTGTTTTTTGACTAAAATGGCAAGGCTTTTTATAGAAAATGTATTTATTGATGAACTTCCTAAACACAGAAATAAGAAATATACTGGATAGCAATAATGAATCTGGGAATAGGATTGTATTACAATGTTTTAAGTATAAATTGTGTAGAAGAAGGAAAATCAGGAGCAGACATGATGCAGAGCCAACTTAAAAGGTCTTGACAGTCTTTCCTTTGCAAAACTGAAGTCATAATATTTATTGTTTTCATGTTCAGCCTAACTATGGAGTGGGAAGGCAACAGATTCAGCACTAAACATTAATTAACAGCACAGTTTTTATTGACTAATTGTTCTTCTTTCTTTTGTAATTGGGGTACCATCCGTTTATACTGTTTTGTATTTGAAAGTATAGAATCACCCCTTCTGTTGCTCTTTGCCATACTGCTTCTACAGGGGTAAAAAAAAAAAAAAAAGTAAACAAAACCAATTTGCCTAATGTTACAGTATTGCCTAACCCTGAAAAATAATTTAACTTATTTGTAACTTGGATTATTTATTTTTTTATTTCACTAATATTTTCTCTATTATTTAGTTATTTCTGCACTCTGAGATGAATTTTCTTGAAGTGGATACCTATTTCCATAGATGTACGTCTCTTCCTTTCAAAATGCATATGATAAGTTCCAGCAAGTATGGCTGTAGTTGCTTCCCTTAAGTTCTTATGTCTGTATGTATTTTACTTAGTATTCATTTCAGAATTTTTAAGAAGAGAAAAATATATTGTAAAAAAATGAGCAAGGGTATGAAATATATAAAAAACATATAAAAATAAAAATTAACAATTTCGAATGTATTTTTTTTGTGAATGTGGATCACTTAGAAGTTGTGTTGAAATGCGCATGAGTTAAATGAAATTCATATACCTAGAAGTGAGATCAACAGTAAGACCTCATTTTGTAAAACAGCAAGTCTAATGATACAATCTAAGAAGGGCACAATCAGGATTTAATGCTGTTATGTTCCTTTCACAAAGAAGTGTGAAAATGAATAGACTTCCAATCATTGTTGAATAAATGATGTCTCTAAAAAGTGGAGATTGGTATCTGTGAGCATGCTGAGAGGACTTCACCGTCAAAATAGCCTAGGAAACTATCTTCTGTCCTCCTGAATGACTGCAGTTATATGTGTGATGATTCCAGATTGTCTGATTTTGGAAAATATACTGGCTGCAAATAACTCTTGACAGTTTTTTCTTACTATGTACTGTGACTACAATTGATCTATTTTTGTTCAGTTGGTTAGATTGTCATCCTCTTTTGATTTATTAAAAGAGTTAAAGATTGATGTATCATTAACTTTTTAGAAACTAGTATTGAATGGAACCCATAAAATAATGTTTTTCCTCTTCTGCTCATAGCAATACACTAGAAATTAAGGCATTTTACTTGTTTATAATTTTATTCAGTAATGGCATACACCATCTAGGACTATATATAATATGTAAATCAGAGGCAATTTTATTTGAAAGACCCTGGGTACTGATATAACTGGCTTTGTCCAGTCTAACCTACTAATCACTACACCAACTGCATGTGGTTTTCCTATAGTCATATTACAGTCTTTGTATGAAGCATGTGTGTGTATATGCATATAGATTTTTGAGAAGGTGTGTCAGGGGAGGGCTACTACAAGAAACGAGTTATTATGGTATATGTTCCAGAACTATTCACTAAAACCTGTAGTGAATGTTATCAATTATTTTGTGACTTTTACCTTTTATTTTTTAATTTGTAGGACAAAGAGAAAGCATTACTATATTTTTTCCTTAAAATTTTAACTGACAGCTTTTTCTGGTTGCAAATATGCTCTGTATCCCTTTAACACATGTTTCCATTATTGAGTCCAAATATTCTGCTCTAGTATTTCTAGGACCAAACAGTGAGACAGGAAAGGGACTCTGGAGTTGATGTCTTTAAAGAGAAGAGTTGGAAGCTGTAACACATTTCCTGTCATGCTTTTGCCAGAGTTAGTAATTCAGTTACATATACCTACCAAAACTAAAAATTGGGTGGTCTTGTGTCCTATGAATTTGGTGGTGAAGGGGGAGTTTCCATTAGTTAAAGGACAGACATATGGATACTGGGGATGAGATAGCAACCAGTTACTGGACAGAAGTGTGTTCATATTCTCAGCTGTACTATACAGTTCCAGATTGTTTGGAAGAATGGTTAAATCAACTCACATCTGGTAGCACATGAAATTTGCATTAATACAAAATCTCAATATTAATATATATTGCCAGACTTCTTTAACAAGTTTACAGTGGAAATTCATTATGATTTAAGATGCATTTACCTAATTTCTAATGACAAAAAGTTGCATTTCCATAATTACTAATGAGCTGAATGACCATTAGTATTTTGTTGTAGTGAAATCAATTCCTGTTCAATTTTTTTTTTTTTTTTTTGCTCACCTTATCCCCTCTGTAGGGATTTTATCTTTTTGAATTTATTTTAAGGAGGTTGTTATATTTTGTACAAAAGTATAATGTGGTTTCGCCTTGGCTTTCTTCTCATCACCAAATTTCTAATGCTTTGAAAGCAGCACATATTTGTCCTTGTCCTCACAGTCTTGTCTTCTTTCTTAAACATTATAATCATAAAATGTTATTTATTAACCTAAGAGAAGAAATGAGAACTCGAGGGATTTAAAACACTTCTCCCTATGTAATTTTTTTCAAGTTACTCAAACTTAAATCAAAATGTAAGTCATCATAAACTTGAATTGTATAGATTGTGCTGTAATGTACAAGGGCAAAAGTATTATGATTTGATTCATTTATCATTTTGCTTTCTAAGTGTGTACAACTATAGGACCAGAGTAGGAAAAAGTCCCAGTGGTCTATGGTGAAAGGAGTATGGGTGCTTTGTGAATGAGTGTTCGGTAACATACTCATACTCATAAGTATGAACCTATTCTTCTAAATCATATAGTATTGTATATTATATGTATACAATATGTATAGTGTATATGTATAATGTATATTATAAACAATAACAATATTGTTTGTTACCTTACAAGTAAGCAGATAAAATAATATACTATACTTTTAACCCAGTATTCTATCCAGTGTAGCTAAGTTAGTCTTTGGTAGATAAATAGGTGTTTCTAGAGATAACAATTATCCCGAATTCAGAGTAACTTTATCAGTAACAAATGAAACCTTAATGGTTAACATGAAGTTGGGAACCTAAGCAATATTTAGTAAACAGTAGTTATGATTTTTATTTTTTAATGATCATTTTCATCATTGTCATCTGTTAATCTTTGAACATATACAAAGGAATTTATGCAAACATATGTGGAAGCTATTTTTCTCTCAAGTGGGAAGAATAAGTGTGCTAGATTTTTAAATATATATTCATAAGCACAGTACATCTGGAATGCCTATAGCTTATAGCTATGAGGAGGTAAAGTCTGAACTGAGTTTACAGGTTAAAATGTGGTCCAAGTCACAAACACATAGCGAATCTTTTGAAAACATCAAAGATCTACAATTTATCTTTTGAATCCTTATGTTTGCTTTTAAGTCTTTTTATGGCATTCTTAATGTCTTTATTTCTCAGTGTATAAATAGCTGGATTCATCACAGGTGTGATTACTGTGTAAAACACAGCAAGAAACTTGTCTACCCAAGTGATATTAAGCGGCCACAGGTAGATGAAGATGCAGGGTACAAAAAATAACACCACCACTGTGATATGAGAGATACAGGTAGAGAGTGCCTTTGATGCCCCATCTTTGGAGCGATGGCGGACATTTGTCAGTATATAGATGTAGGATATTAGCAAGACTATGAAACAGATTGTTGACAAGACACCACTGTCAGCATTGATCAGTAATCCCATTTTAGGACTATCCGTACAGGCCAGTTTGATCACCACAGGGATATCACAGAAAAAGCTGTCCACTATTCTGGGTCCACAGAAGGGAAGTTCTAAAATCATAAGCAGTTGACTTAGAGAATGCACAAAGCCACTGATCCAAGATATAGAAATTAGCCAGATGCACTTTTGTTTGTCCATGATGCTGTGGTAGTGGAGTGGCTTGCAAATTGCCACATAGCGGTCATAAGCCATTGTCACAAGTAATACCATCTCTCCCCCTCCAAAAATATGCTCAGAGAAGATCTGTGCCATGCAGCCTTCAAAGGACATGGTCTTATTAGCTCTTAGTAAGTCTGTGATTAGTCTAGGGGTGGTTACCGAGGAAAGACAGAAGTCAACAAATGAGAGATTGGCTAAGAGAAAGTACATTGGGGAATGCAGATGAGGGTCAATGAAGATTAAAAGCACAACAAAGAGATTTCCTACAACAGTCATGAGGTAGAGCGCTGAAAATGGCAGTAAGAGGAAGGTCTGGATTTTGCTTGAATCACAAAGTCCACGAAAAATAAATTCAGACACCATAGTCTGATTTGCTTGCTCCATTTAGTACAGCATGTTCTAATGCAACCTAAAAAAGAAATGAACTAAGAACCTTTAGAATATAAAGCAAAACTTATTGTTTAGATGTCAGAGAATAGATAAATACTTCTCATGTCAAAATTAAATTTGTAGCCATATACTCAAAACTGGAAATTAAGTTTTCTTGAATATATATGATTGAAGAGGAGCTAACTGAGTGTACAAGAGTGGACCATTAGAAGTCTAACCCATACAGGTAGCAAGAAAAATATTCTGACTGAAACTTCAGTAATTATGTGTTCCACAAACATTTTCTCCAAAGATCCAAATATTTAATCAATGGTTTATGCAATGACAATCATAGCTGTAAAATATACTCAGAGGTTCTGTATTTTACCAGGTTCAATCCAGGGCAATAATCTAATACTACACTGTTGCAAAACATTTTCTCAAAAACAGACACATTGCCTACTGGATATTTATGCGCAGATGGAATTAAACCAGTCTTCTATAAATTTTGGTGAAAATTATGTATCATATAAGTTGATAACAGATATTAATGTTCAAAAAAAAGGCTCCAGAGAATAACTAAAATTTTCGAGAAGTATATATATTCCTATGCATTTTGAATTTCCCATTGAAATTGTATACAAAATATATTTTCCTTCAGGTGATGAATGTCCCTTTAAAATACAACAACTGGTCTTTATTCCTCACCTGTAACAGAGATTTCTTTGTTGAGACTTGTTTTATTGACTGACACATAAGAGTTACCATTCTCCTGATTGAACTTCATGGCAGAAAATAAAAATTCTGAGTTCATATGTACTTATTCACTGTAAACTATTCACTGTATTTTTTACATTAATCTCTGTTGAAATAAATTTATTTTCTGTAAGCCAGAGGCCAAGTTCAAGCTATCTTTCCTCCCATCCCTCTTTTAGTCTAATTTTTCCTCATATCTTGGCATTTTATCCTACTACATGTTTTCAGTGTGGAAACAGAGATCACAGAGTTGACTATCCAGAACTTACCATATTCCAAATCTGTGTTAAGTACTTTAAAAACATTTTTTTTAAAGTTTTTGTTGGTTTCCTTTCATATGGTGGTGACTTTTCCACAAGCAGTGTCTCAATTGCATTCTTTTACATATTCTGACCAACACAGCAACTGAATACACTTTCAATCCTTTATAAGATCACAGAATTGCCTACTATTTTGAAGCGCTATTGACCTTTCTTTTTCTTTAGAACTCTTATATTCCATCTTTGTGCATTTTGTTGTTTGGTTTTTTTTTACCTTTTTCTGCCCAGTGTTTTTTTTTTTTTTTTTTCCATCGTAAAAGTAAGACTTTTTAAATATGATAAGCGACCATCTGGATTAGATTCTTTGGATATCACCCTACTTGAAATCTACTTATTTTATTTTACACAATAAATAAAAATATGAGACTAATAAACTATGTACACTAATGTACAATCTGTTTTTAATGTGCATATTTCTTGCCATTTTACAAGGAAGCTTAGCTTTCCTGAGTTACAAATCAGAAATTAATAATATTGAAATATAAACAGTGATCTATCAGTATAACTTACCTACAGAAACGACTTCTGGCAGGATTCTTAGTGTGGACAAGACTTGTTACAAGAATAAAAAATAAGTTAAAGTTTTCTGGAATATAACTTTTTTCTGTGATGAGGTTTTGGAGACACAAGTACAAATAACCAGTAGCAATAGGAAAGATGTACAGATTTACATTAAAATTCATTCAGTTTCATCATCTTCAAGTTGTATGATACTTTAGCCAGATAAATTTTAACTAATGTTTTTCTCCACTTACGATTGTATTAACTATTCGAAGAAGTCAAATCCAAAGGAATTAGAAAATATCATGAGAAATCGGATGATCTGCCAGAACCTATCTTCCCCAAACTGAAGAGCTTCTAGGAACCACTATTTATAGAAAGGTAGTCCTTTTTGTTAGTATGTGAATGTGCTGGTTGGAATTCAGAATTTCCAGGAATTACTTGGAAGAGAAGCCTATAATTCTTCCTGTAAGCACATTAAATAGGACATTTAGAACTCTAATCTCCACATCTGGTATGGAAAAAGTGCTGCATGGAGAAAATAAAATCAACTAATTTTAAAAATAGAGGAGCAGTACTGAAAGTGATATTTTACAATCACATTGCTAGGTATACTCACCCTACATGCATCAACTCTGACAAAGAGGGCTTATTCTAGATCCTAACTTAAGTCTGAAATGATGTCCGGTCAATTTTTGGCCATGATTGGTGTATCTGCTCCCTGTAATATATATACACTCTAAAGTGTAGTCTCTGATTTTGGAAATTTTCCATTGATCTGTTTTAAATATACGTAAGTACTTGGGAAAAAAAAAATCTCTATAACTCTCCTAAGGGATCTTTAGCTTCTTAATTTCCCTAAGGTAGAGATGGGTATTGAGACCATCATGCATTTTTCAAAGCTAGAGTGTAGTTAATACAGTTAAATACAACTGTAATGTAAGAGACAGAAGTTTAAAATATTGCATCATTCTGGTTATTAAGAGGATGTGACTTTTTTTCTTTTACTCTATGTTAGACTTGTGGTAAAGTGCACAAAGATGTCATTTTCATCCCAAGAGGGCTTTAATGCATGAAATGAGTGAGTAAATGACAGCCTGTTTAGGCATGATGCAACTATGGTATCAACTTAATGCTCATGACTTTAACCTCTGATCTTTGGATTTCAAGAACATTAGGTTTTAATATTCTCTGTGTTTCCTTGAGTAGAGTTCTGAAATTTTATAGTCTGAGTGTCAATCATGTTATAGACATTTCTCTAAGTGATAATTGAAGGGTATTAGTGAAAGGATACTGAAGACTAATGAGAGGTAGTTACACAGGGATGGGAGAAGTTGTTGCTTTAAAGGAGAGCTTGAGGACATGTGATGGCTATGAAACTTGAAAACACACACACACACTCACACACACACACACACAACCTCTGAAATGCATTAAGATATTTCTGGAGATTGGTAATTTTTCATTTATTTTCCTGGTTGTTGAAAGCTTTTTATCATTTTTGGAAAACTCAGATAGTTGTACATGTAATGATTTTTTTTAGCAAAGCAATATAATATCCTGAATTTCCCTTTCCGATATTTCTGCCACTGTCAGATTCAGAAATAATAGGTCCATTTGGAGATAATAGTATTCAGAGTTGAACAAATTTGAGAACAATATAAAGCAAAAGAAATGAATGAATTATATTCAGTAAGACATGAGAAAGGGTTGAAAGCAGTGCCAGAACATGTAGGAAACGTCTGACTTATGCCTGACAGGTAAAATATACTTAAATGTCACTAGAACTTTTACTTTAAAACTCTGGATACTGAAAGCCAATGATTTTTATGTAGTCATAAGATAACTGAGATCATAAGGAAAATTTCCTCCGAGAAGCCTAGGGGAGATCTACTTAACAATAAAAGAAGTCACTGTTTGGGACCATTGAATGGTAATTTGTGATTTATTGTTACCTGAGTGTGGACTAGAATGTGAACTACAGTGTTTTATGTTTAGAGTGGCACACTTTTTTTTTTTTTTAATTTACTTCTTTATACTTAGAGGAATGAGTACAGGCCAGAGGTGCGGGGGGTGAAAGGATTCACTAGAGACAGAGTGAAGAGCAGAACAGTCAGATCAACTGAAATACACTGCTGAGGGGAGCAGTGGGTGGGTCAGGAGAGGTCTGCCGTGCCAAGTGGGTCAGCTCCCTGGTTGGGGATTGAACTCGTGCTGCAGTATCTCTGGAGAGTTTCATAGAGCTATGCTTTAACCTGTTGAGCCACCAAGGAGAGCTCAGGTGGCACACTTTTTCTTCACTTCAAGAAACCCCATATGGTTCTCAGAGTAAAATTTTAGAAAGATCCTTTCCTTATGGCTATGGCTGGGGAATGTTAAAAGTAAGCATTGCGTAATATACCCGGATCCTTCCCCATAACAAAGGACACATGAAAGAAATTTTCTAGAGCATCATTTAAAAACTTTATCATAGCCAAAAGATATAGTCTTCAAGAAAAACACTGGCAATGCTGCTTCCAGAGAAGGAATTCAGAAGAGTTGAGCAACTATACCACTGGAGAAACATTTGTAAAAGTCACAGCTCTAAAATATAGGCCACCTAGAAAATGGTGATGTAATCTCTGAAGATTATAGAAAATGCTCTCCTTTCCAACAGGTTATCACTATACCAACAGGGCTCCAGCATAGCAACAGCAGATTACAATAGAAAGAATTGCATGTCACACACTGTGTTTGAGTAGAGCAAGTCCAAAGTCAATAAAGGAGGACAAAATAAGGGTACTCAAGAAAACTGGCCTCCACATTTCCAAGGAAAGAAGATGAAAGGCATATTGAAAAAGAATGAAATATAACAATCCCCAAATTGCAGACAATGATGGAGATTTTTAGTGTTGGTCGTGGTGTAACACATTTGAGTAGTGTAAACTTAAATCCCTAAGTCTCATACATGTTGAAAACCTCAATAAAAGCAATGCAGTTTTCGGCCCTCCCTGGTGGCGCAGCGGGTTAAAGCACAGCACTGAGAATCTAAAGACGCTTCCGCATGAGTTCGATTCCCGCCTGCCCCGGAGGAGACCACATGGCGTGGCAGACCTCTCCTGACCCGCCCGCTGCTCCCCTCAGCAGTGTACTTTGTTGATCTGCCTGTTCTGTTCCCCACTGTGTCTCTGGTGAAGCCTCTCACCGCCCCTGAGCCTCTGGCCTGTACCCCAGTTCTGTATGCACAAATAAATAAATCTTTAAAAAAAAAAAAAAAGCAATGCAGTTTTCAAAATCAAAAACCCCAAATCACTCCAAAATAATTTCTTCAAGGTGAACGTTGTAAATGAAATATTTACCTAATATTTCAAAATATAGCTAAACTTAAAAAAAAGCAGTATTTTCATTAACGATGAAGAAAATCACCATTGGAACAGAAGAAATTTATAAAGAATTTTT